CCTGCCTTGACACCTGAACCTCTCCAGGCAGAGCTCCAGCACGCCTAGCCGCCTAGCCGCGCCCCCAACCTCTCTGGCCTTCTCTGGCTGCTTCAAGTCCTGCCCTCAGTCCCTGGAGTCACCTTGGGCTGGTCCCACCTCCAGAGCAATGCGGCGACTCCGACCCATCATAGCCTCCTGCCTGCTGCACTGTGCTCCTTCCCCTGGCAGGTGGGCGCTACGGGCTTTCACTACCCCCCTCCCTTCCCAGCACAGGATGGTCCTGCCTCCTCTGGGCGCCTCCCTGCTCAGCCCTGTCTCTGGAGCAATGCTCTGCCGCCCACGCTCAGGCAGCCTCCTGGGATCGGTCGTTACACATTACGGAGTCCCGACCATTAGCATATTAGCTCTTTATCATTATGATTGCCCCAAACTGAAAACAAAGTAAATGTTCTTCAATGGGTGAATGGATAAACAAACTGGTATGTCCACACAGTTAAAAGGAATGGGCTGTTAATGCCTGTAACAACATAGTTGAATGTCAAATTTTTCATGCTAAGTGAAAGATGCTGGACTCAGAGTTACACACAGTATAATTCCATTTGTATGACATTCGAGAAAAGACAAAACTATAGGGAAAGAAAACAAGTCAGCGGTTGCCGGGGTTGGGGGTATGGAAAGATGTTGACTGCAAATGGGCATGGCAGAGGGGTTATTTTTTTTGGGGAGGGGTGATGGAACTGTTTCATATTTTGATTGTAATTGTGGTTACATGACTGGAAACATTCGTTAAAACTCATAGAACTATTTAACTTAAAGGGGTGAATTATACTGTATATACATTGTACTATTAGCAAAAGGGTAAAAAAAGAGATGAGGTATGAACAGGTATGGCATAGCAGGGACCGAGAGAAGTTTGTGGAATAGACTTTGAGGGCTTTTTTACTTGCTGCTGGTGGTGAGGAAGAAAAGACTCAGGATTGCATAACCGGGTCATGTCCACACCGTGGCTGCTGTGACTACTGCTGCACTGAACACGGGAGGGCAGGCATGTCTTCACCATACTGATCGCGGTTCCTTCAGAAGCGAGACAACCTGAGTGTTTGTACACACAGACTATTGTGTATACAAACAATAGAATAGAATTCCCATTAAAAAGGGGGAAGTCTGCAATTGAAGATGACACTGATGAAACTGGAGGGCATTATGCTAAGTGAAAATAAGCCAGAAAATTCACAGAAGATCGATTAATATATATTGATTTCAGAGAGGAAGGGAGAGGGAGAGAGAGATGGAAACATCAATAATGAGAGAGAATCATTGACTGGCTGTCTCCTGCACACCCCGCACTGGAGAATGGTCCACACTGGAGATCAAGCCTGCAACCCGGGCATATGCCTGACGGGGAATGGAACCATGACCTCCCGTTTCATAAGTCGATGTCCAACCACTGAGCCTCGCCGGCCGAAGAAGATCACTTGAAGTGTTGAATCATGAGGTCCAGGCTGCAGGCTAGGGGCCTTTGCCATCAGGAGCATTGTGAAGTCAGGAAGGACACTATGGGTCCAGGATGTGGGGACACCATACCTCCCACGTTAAGCTCCAGGTCCCATGATCAAATGCATTGATAAGAAAGCTTTATGGGTTCAGATCTTGCTTCGATCACACCTAAGGTCATGACATTGAGCAAGTAATGTATGCTTCGTCTCAGTTGTCTCATCCAAGAAATGGGGATGT